TATGCTTCCACGAAGTGTTGCAGAGCTTTTGCGCCACGCTGTACATATAGATATTACATGAATGCTACTCGCCGATTTTTATATATATATATATTTAAACAAATTTAAATTTAATTTTTAACAAATACGTATAAAAGTAAAAAAGCAAATTTAAATCCTAAAAAAAAGAAAAAAGCCAAAATAATTTTTAAAAAAATGTGCAAACATATAAAAGATTTAATACTCGAACTAATCTACAATATCATTTAAATTCAGAAGCATAAGCAAATCAAGTGCAAAATCAATCCATGAAAATAAATTTACTAATTTAATAAATTAAAATTAAATTAAACATTTCTTTGAAAAAATGCATATGTGAATGACCGTTGAGTAGGCAGGAGACAGACTTATCAAGGGGAAGTTGCCTCCAAACCTAACTCTCCAATCATTCAATTCGTGTTTCGTCATTCATGCAGGCAAGGGTAAAAGTCAAAACCAAAAGTAATTCCAATAAAGTGGTTCCCTTAGAAATTAACATTTAAGAATTAACATTTAAGAATTAAAGTTCAAAAAGGAAAATACTAATGAAGTCTTTTGAGAAACAAGCAAGTAAAGTCAAGAATTAAACTTTTTTTTTTTAAAATTAAATTTAAAAAAAAAAAAATAATTTTTTATAAAAAATAATAAAAAAATAATCTAGAAACCAATGTATTTTAGAAAATCTTGTCTACAGAAACCTCCCCTACACGAATATGCATATCAATAAAAAGAAACTAAAAAAGAACTAGACATAATCCATATAAACCAATAAGAAACAAAAAGAAACTGATTCACAATTTTTAAAAAAACAAATAATATTTAAAAATATAATTTCATATTTAGAAAAATACTAAAATACTATTTTAAAATTTTAAAAAATACTTAAAGCAAGTAAATAGTAAGTTTTAATTCTAACTTACCTACTATATGAGTGTTGGGGTCTGCAAAAGTGTTGTAAAAGAGAAGTAAGTGTGTTCTTAAATTATATAGATGGCGCTTATGTAGGTAAAGTTGAGTGTCAAGCTGCTATCTTTGTTATAGTAGAAAATTTTTTTTTGTAAACATTAATATTAAAAATTAAATTAAATTAAATTAAAAATTAAAAATCCTAAAGGTAGTAATTATCAATTTTTTAGGGAGTTAAGACTGAGCCAATCAAGAGATGTAAGTTTGCTTGAAGGAAAATAAAGTTGAAGTGGTATTGTGAATAAAATGTAAATTGTTTGTAATGTGAAATGTGTGTTCTGTTGAAAAATTGTGTAAAAGTTGTAAAAAATTGTAAAAAAAAAAAAAAAAAAAAAAAAAAAAAAAAAAAAAGCTGTTAAGTGAAAAATTTTTTTGTGTGAAAAATTGCAAAAAATTAAAGTAATTAAGAAAACTGAAATGTTTTAATATTAAAGTTTAAAGTAAAAATTTCCCAAAATTTTTTGAAAAGGAGTCCTTAAAAAACCTCTAAAAAATTCCAGAAATTTCTCAAAAATTACTTTAGGAAGTTAATTAAAACTTAATTTAATGAAAGAAAATATTAAAAGTTTAATGAATTTGATTTCAATTGGTATATCAAAACTTAACTAAATACTGGCTAAAGTATGGAAAATTAGAAGAAGATTAAAATCTTCACTCAATTCGGGCTATAATTGAGACTTTTGAAAAGAGTTGGCCCTTTATTAGTAAAAGGAAAGAATCCAGTATTGATTAAATATACATATTTACAATAAAAATTTACAATAATTTCTCTACTCTTTTATATCCTTCATTACCCTCCAGCTAAGGTTTAAGGTAATGTTATCATATCCAAAAGAGCCAAAAAATTATAAAGTAAAGTCAAGGCCTGCCTTTTTAATGTATAAATTAATAAATTTTGGTGGTACTTGGTTATCAACTTGTACATTAATTAGCTTTATATTTTCTTCCTTTAAATCGTCTATTTCAGTACATATATTTTTTTATTCTGATAATTTGGCCTATGAAACGTGTTTTCTATTACTTTTCTAGAGATATTAGAGTTCTAATTAATTAGTTTAATAGTAGGAAAATGGAAATTCCTTCTTTTATCAAATAATTTAATTTTGCTGTGTTTAATAATTTGCAGGTCTAGGAATTCAATAGTATCTTGATTCGTATTCGTTTTATTAAGTGTTAAACTATTTGGGTAAATTTTGAATTTCTCAAAAGTAGAAATATTATTGAAAGTTATAATATCATCTATGTATCTAAAAGTATGAGCAAATAGCTTTAATTCATTTTTATTTAAACTGAGTTGGAATTTATATTCAAATGTAAAAAGAAATAGGTTACAAATTTGTGTAGAACTGTTTGCTCCCATAGGAATTCCTCTAACTTGCTGAAAGATCTTATTATTGAATTTAATGTAGTTATTAAATAATACACAATTCAGATAAGTATTCCAGCTTTCAATACAAAGGATGTCATGTATGTCAGGAAAAAGTTGTGGGAGTTGCATTAAACTAGTAAAAATTTCTTCTAATGGTAGAATAAGTATAAAGGTTCTTCTAATGGTAGAATAAGTATAAAGGTATAAGTCATAGCAGTTACTGTTCTTGATTGTTAAACTTTTAAAACTGCTGAGAACTGGAGCATTATTATAAATAATCCAACTATAATTGTGTTGTTTGTTAACGAGATGTTGGATTAAATTACAGATTTTTTTAAGTATAATTGCAAATATGTAATCTATATTCTTTTTATAATTATTTGTACCATTAGCAATAAATCTAAATTTGAGTGGTGATTTATGAAATTTTGGGAAAGCATATAGATTTGCTAATCTATTGTAGTTAGATGGTTGTGAATTTGAAAAATTTGCAGTTTTTATAAAAAATTAATTTTTAAAAAAATTTAATTAAAAAGAAGTTTTAATTCTTGACTTTACTTGCTTGTTTCTCAAAAGACTTCATTAGTATTTTCCTTTTTGAACTTTAATTCTTAAATGTTAATTCTTAAATGTTAATTTCTAAGGGAACCACTTTATTGGAATTACTTTTGGTTTTGACTTTTACCCTTGCCTGCATGAATGACGAAACACGAATTGAATGATTGGGAGAGTTAGGTTTGGAGGCAACTTCCCGTTGATAAGTCTGTCTCCTGCCTACTCAACGGTCATTCACATATGCATTTTTTCAAAGAAATGTTTAATTTAATTTTAATTTATTAAATTAGTAAATTTATTTTCATGGATTGATTTTGCACTTGATTTGCTTATGCTTCTGAATTTAAATGATATTGTAGATTAGTTCGAGTATTAAATCTTTTATATGTTTGCACATTTTTTTTAAAAATTATTTTGGCTTTTTTCTTTTTTTTTAGGATTTAAATTTGCTTTTTTACTTTTATACGTATTTGTTAAAAATTAAATTTAAATTTGTTTAAATTTAAATTTCATTCCTTGCAACAATGGCGCAAAGAATATTAATTACATTTGTATTTAAATTTAATTTTTTAAATTAACTTCAATTTATTCTTATATATATATATATATAATTGTTAATTTACTTGCTTCTGGAGTGGTTAAATACCTTGGAAGTAAAAAAAAGAAAAAAAGATTTTAGTCCATCTAAAAATATGCCAGCATAGTCCTCAGAAGAGTAAGAATGTGGAAGACTATTATAATGTAACTGTAGAAGTGTAAATTTTTATTCTTCAAACTATTGACTCTTCAAACTATTAATTACGCAGTAAAGCCGCCCAACGGGATAGGTGGTTAGTGACGCTGACTGTCGTACCGAAGGGCCTGGTTTCGAATCTCGGAGAGGGCATGGGGGGCACTCTAAATATGCGATGAACCGAAAGTCCTCTCGAGAGGCTGGTGGTAGGGGAAAAGGTTTAACAGACCATCAGATCCGTACCAACGGGTAACTGTCTCAAAATTCTCTCAAATTTGGGAGCTGAATTGAGCTTATAGAGTCTCCGTGTTATTTTGGGTAGCACACATTAGCAGACGAAGTAGCGAATTGTCGCTATGTCTTGAAGAATAAATATTGCAGAAGAAGGTTTTAAATAATCTTTTACTTTAACTAAAATGAACAGATGCACACATTTTGTTCTCCCAATTCACCATCACTTGTGGCTAACTAAATTAACAGAAAATAAGAATGTAAAAGGCGCATTGAATTAAGATAACTAATGATTGGCTCCTTAGCTTAACTAAGCGCTAAATCGGCTGTACACAGCAAAGCTGAACCTAGAAAATATCAGTATAAACTGAAAGGTGTCTAACACCAACTAGAGAGCTGGTTTCAAACACGAAATATAAACTCAAAACTAAGTTCGCTACTACTTCTCACGAAATGTTGAAACGCAGCTTAAATACTGCTTTTGAAACACCCTTATATTAGCATCTACGCCATTACAAATTTACATTACGGCAGGAAACTGAAATCAGGAGGGAAAGGAAAGAAAAACTAAAACTAATCGGTTAGAATAAAATAAAGTCCTTACAAGCTAAAATCGGGCTGTCACCCTATATGGTGCTCAGGGCTCTTGCCAACGACAGGGGAATTTAATCCTTGTCACGGTGAATGACGTGAGCTAGTGTTGACCTTTGTCAAACAAGTGAGATTGGTAACAACAACATTATATAATAATAATGAGGTATATAATAATGAGGTATTGCTTTTTGAAAGCAATACCTCATTATTATTTTTGAAATCATTTTTGAAATTTTTGAAATATCATTTTTGAAAGAGTATTTTTCTTTGATTTACATATAAATTAAATTTAGGATGGGCAGAAAAGAGAAATACGTCTTTATTCTAAAAATGAGCCAATTTCTTTCATGCCCGTAATTTTTCTTTCAAATGGTTATTTCTTTTATCCATTTTCAACTATCCCAAGAGGCTTGAACTCGCAAAGAATTACCTGATGTAATAGAAGTTTTGCTCTAATAAAATTGCATTTTAGAGAGCATTCATTGAAAGTTTTGCATATTACAGATTGAAAAGTAATAAACTGTTAATTTCCAGGTTTTCATGCCCGTGGACTTGCTCCGGCGTCAGGAATCCTTCCGTGGGAATCGGTCCTCTCAAAGAGTTATTTCGTGTGTTGGATCCTACTCCTGTCTTCTCTTTTTCTACTGCTTCCTCCCATACAGCTACAGATTTTATTATGAACTGGACACCTGCACCTGGCACGTCACCTGATTTTTGTAGCGACGAACCAAACAGTGTTACTGTAAATGATGACGAATATCCGAACTTCATTGATATTTTTCATCGGTGGACTAATGATTCTTTTACGACACCATTTTCTTCATCTAATGAAAACGATTTTAGAACTTTTGGAGAATATTAAAATATTCACTTAACTGCTGCGTTAAGTGGTGTTTAATAAAATAATATTTTATAAAAAATCCTAACAGACCTTTTTCTTCAATTTGTTTTTTGTTTTTATTTTTGGTGGCTTGAAGTTCTACTTACAATAAATAAAATTAGCTTAATAGACTACAAATTTTCCTCTCAGTAACCGAAAGAGACTTTTAGACGACAGTTGTAAGCCTAGGTACTCATGCGGCGGAAGTAGCGTCACGGAAAAGAGGCATGGCCCAAAAAGATGCCATCTTGGAATTACGTGACAACCAGAATGATGTAGGTATGTTGGAATGACGTCATGTATCATAATTTTATTTTTGCAGGAACAATCTCTTGAAGCACTGTTTTGGATAATAGAATTTAATTAAATTTCCTTTATTATTTTTAATTGTTTAATCTTAGTTATTTTTAATTGAGAGGCTCATTATTCAGTATTTATTAATTAATAATTGATTTCATGAATAGCAATACATTTTAAAGAATTTTAAAAAGCTAGAATCGAACCCACAATTTCTGGCATGGGAAAAAAGCACTTTACAAGTAAGCCAACAGTCTTCAAAAAGGCAAAAGTTTATTGCAATCGGTAGAAAAAAACTATGACGGAACTGTTTGAGGAAACGTTATGAGCGAATAAATGTCATCTCTGCACAAGGTGGAGCTGGCTAGATATTTCATATGTGCATGCCAAAGAAGGACTAATCAGCATCTCGCTTACAACATCGTTTTATTTCAACATATCATAGAGTCTGTGTCTTGAAATGATATGAATCTATAGGTTTTCTCATGGCTGGTGGAGTGGCTTTTCTTCGCATTTTCCTCCATGCTTTTTTTTAACATAAATTTTATTAACTTTTGCAAATTAATGTTTCCACATTTTTATTTCCACAAAAGTAAGATTATTTTTTCCATTTCTTTTCTTGTCACCTTTTATAAAGTTCTTTTTTCCATTTCTTTTCCTTTTCACTTTTTTATTGTTTCATTTTTTTTCCCTTCGCCCAAGTAATATTTCTTCAGTTCAATTTTTTTCACATTTTTTATTTATTTTTTTTTTAAATTTTACCTTTCAACTTTTTTATTTAACAAAAGCAATATTTACATTTACAAGTTTGATTTATTCTTTTCATTTTTCTGTTTTCGCCAGTGTAATTTTCATTTCATTTTATTCCTTCTGTCTGTTTTTATTTCAAACATTTAATTATCATTTTTTCTTTTCACTTTTTTTTTTTTTTTTTTTTTTTTCGTTTTTACAAATGTTAGTTTCATGCTCTTAAAATTTTCCTTGTCACATTTTTATTTTATGTTTCATTTTCATCTTAATTTAAACACTTGTTGGTTTTATGGAAATCTATTTCTCCAAAAATTAAACTTACATATACTATATGTAAGTTCAATTTTTGTATGTTTCTTTGCCTACAAAATTTATACTGGAATTTATTTGCATATCCTTCAACTGTGGAGGCCTTCATGGATAGTATTTTCTGTAAACTTAAAATCGACTTAAAGCAATATGTAGAATGTTCATTTTATATAAATGTGAGAAATTTGTCATTTATTTTAACTAATAGTTAATTATTAGCAAAAGCAACTTTCCTTTTCACCCACGTTTTCCTGCCAGAATGTTAATCAATTAGTTCACGTTTATTCAAATAAGGGAGAAAGAAGTACTATTTAAGCGAAGATTTCGGAAGGTTTTATACCTGCTTGAAGGCCACGTTTTATTTTTACTTAATAGCGATTCGAGCCTAGTGGCTGAATGCCTGAAGCCACTAGGCTTATTCCGCCGTCTTCTACTAGTCAGAGCCTTTCAGCGCGATTAAATTATCCCCGAGCCGTTAGGGTATTTTAATTACATTTTATTATAAGTTCAAAATTGCTTGTTTAAGTTCAGCCAGAAGTGTTAGCTTATGTAAAAGTAAGTGGGGTCATCTGTGCAACTCTTTGCGATTGACTAAAGTTTCGTATACACCCTTCTTCTGTATTTATCTGTATCCTAAGACTTGAGGATAATTCCTCTACAATATTTCTAGAGCTCCTTAGTTTATGTCACCAAAAAATAGGATACTTTATATAGTTTAGTTGGAATATATAAGGCATAACATTATATTTCTTCGTTTTTTATACTATTAACTTTTAAACTAATCGGTAATACTAAGAATTTTCTCTTCTAATGTACTGTACTAACTACTAAGGAATGTAATAGCTCTTTTGATTGAAATAAATTATTCTGACTCATCGACAGTTTTTATATCGTGCATTCGGCTCGCATGCAATTTTAATTTGAGACTACTGCTATGTATGTTCGAAGAGCTGTATGGCTCTAGTGTTTAATTTAAAATGATGCACCTTTGAAAGTGTTTTTTTTTAAGTTATTTACTATATCATTGTATTGCATTCATGTCGATATTACCTGTTATGATATTTATTAATGATTTTATTTGCTAAGTATCCATGATAAATTAAATGTCTTACATGTTCGAAGAAAATGTTTGCCGCTAGAATTGAATTAATATAGTGCTTGCTTATTCAAAAGTGTGGCCTTTTGTAGATTAAATTAATAAAGTTAAATCAAGTTAACCTAAAAGTTAAAACTTTTAAGTTAACTTGTATTCTTTAACTGTAAATTTATATTTAATTCCTGCAGAACCTACTAGACTGCTAATGAGTTATCGCTTAGTCTTAAACAAATCATAAGTATTGAAGAAGATTAAAATAACCTTTTGTTTAGTTTTAAATTGAACAGAAAGGGCGCATCTTGTTCTACAATGAACGTCGAGAGTATTTAAATTGACATAACAGAAAGTTATATTTCAAGTGTAGGTAACGTGACCGGAGACTAAACATAAAGTAAACTAATTAAACTGTCTCAAAATTTTACAGGCACCTGTTTTAGAACATCGGCTAGCAAGACACTAAAGCCGGAATATAATTTTATGTAGAGCTGACAAAAGTAAATAACAGCAAGATGCAGATGCCTGAAACTCTAAACTAAGCATTCGAAACCCTCATCTTAAATAATCACAAACCTAATTTGCATGCTTGGGAAGAATGCATAAAGAAGTTATAACAAAGGCTTAAATCATAACAATTCATTAATTGAAATAAAATATTTTACAAACTACTATGTTGTATTATTATTTGGGATTCCTTCCAATGTTTCCTGTTATGCACAGTGCTTATGAATGATTTTATTTAAAATATGATAAATTAACTGTCAAATATTTTCAAAAAGCAGTAAGAGTTAATCGTTAAACAAAATAATGTCTATTTGAAATGCGTATCTTTTAGGTTAAGTTAGAATTAATGGGCTAAAGCTCTGAGACTAATAAAAATTGTAATGATAGTGATTGAAAAACATATTCTAAATTGGAAAACATTTATATCACAAATCACGGAAAGGGGGAAAACTTCCATTTCCATGACCGAATATTAATTATACGTGTATTTTAGACTTTTAAGTTTAGACTACGTGTATTTTTAAGTTTGTAGAGTTTGTAGATTTGGTTAGTTGGAAAAGCCAGAGAGATGAAAAATATGCAACGCCTTCGCCGGGAATCGAACCACGGACCTCTGGAACGTGGCTCAGTGTGCTGACCACTACACCACGAAGGCACGCTAGTATGGCGGGAGAAATACCTTATATACTTCCTCTTTTAAAGGGTAACTTGGGTTTCTAGGGGACCCAATCGCCAAATTCTGATTGTGGAGAGTAATCATCCACAACCCTTTTAGTTAGGGCGCCACTGTAAAGACATTAGGTTAGTTGGAAAAGCCAGAGAGATGAAAATTACGCAACGCCTTTGCCAGGAATCGAACCACGGACCTCTGAAATACTGGCTGAATCTGCTGACCACTACACTACGAAGGCACGCTAGGAAGGCGGGAGAAACACATCTGCCTATAATTCAAATTTAAATAATGCATTATAGTATGTATCATTAGAAGAAGTTCGACCTCCATGCAACTTGTTAAAAAAATCAAGGCTGTGTTAAGCTCGAACACAGTAACTGTTATAAGGCTCTGCTGTAGATGGTAGCATCATGTTAAGAATATGTAATAAGTTTTCCACGTGACGAAAATGAAGGTTCAGGTAGGATGTGTGAAGAAAATCCCAAGACACTTTTAAACGTGTTTCAAATAAAATTTGTGTTATTAATATAAATCAATCCTTCTGCTGAATATAAAAAGAGTGTTCTAAATATATTTCCATAAATATCTGTAGCATAAAATAATAATAAATGTAGCATTCTTTCTTTATGTGTTGCAGTTAAACTGGATAAAATTGGACATGCATAGATTTAAGTAAACATTATTCCTTAAAAATATATTATTCCTGAATTATAAGATTTCATTCAAAGTCTGTAGATCTCACAATAAAAAAAATCCACATAAATCTGTATTTACTTTCAGAAAAAAGGAATTAGAAATGTAACATGAAAATGTTTTAAAAGTAGGATAAATGTGAAATATAAACATAAATGTGTAAGCGGCTTAGCGGTAAAGTGCATGTCTCCCATGCGAGGCAATTTGGGTTCAATCCTAACTTTTTAAAATTCATCCACTATAAATAATGAAATCATTTAAAATGATTAAATATTGAATAATTATATTAATTAAAAATAATGACAGATAAATACAATTAATAATAAGAAAGGAAAAGTAATTAAAATTGATGTCATTCCAAATGTGTGGTTCAAGAGGTCGTTGTCACAAAAAGAAGCTTTGAAATAAAATAGTTGTTGCCGCAAAATTATAAAAAAATCGAAAAAAAAATTTCGTTGCCACGAAAACAAAATTATCACATATAACGGCATTCAGACATGTCTACATCACTTCCAGTTGTCACATCGTGGGGATAGTGAGATCATGTCTTGATGTATCATGATCCAAGAGGTGACTTCCTCTTGCCCTTTCTTCACGCCCTTTTTCTTGACGGCATTTCCGCTGCACGAGTGTCTGGCCTTACTACTGACAACTTTCGGTCCCATCTTCCTTATAATTAAAATGATTATTATTAAAATATAAATTTTAAATAAAACTATCTAT